TCTTTTTATTTTAGTTGCTTTATGAATTGTCTTCTTTATTCTTCATTTATGCTCCATGTGGAGTGTGCAATGAAGACAAATCGTGCCAATTACTTGTATATGATATGTTAATTTCACATGTTATAGAGTGACAACTAAATCTTAAATGATCTATTTAAATTGTGGCAAGATGGTTTCTTCTTCACTTTTTGTTATATTTAGTTTAGATGTGATAAGTGCAAGAGGATTAAATATTGCAAATATGATGGTTGCACTCATTTGTTTTGTGAAGTGTGCACAAAAAGTTCATTTGATTTTTCTCAGCTTTGTTTATGTTTTGTAAAGCATGCACATGGTCGGAGACTATATGGAACTTGTGCTGGAGTGTTGAATATTATTAGGTGTGCCCTATTGAATGAAACTCTTATTTTATTTTACATTTTAGTTTGAATGTGATCATTGACTTTTTCGAACTACTGCAAAACATGAAGAACATAAACGTTTTGCAATGATGCTTAGTTGAATCATGGACTTTGCTAAAAATTAACTTGACTAATTGCAAACCAAGTAACCACGTCCATGAGGACAAAAAAACCGATAAGTAAATATTTTATTAACAAAGAAGAATCTATGGATTAAGGATGATCTCTTCTCAATCGAACCTAACTGAATAGAAAATGAAATGTATAAAAGCCGTAATGTTATATATCTGTTATAATCCCCTCCCGAGCCAAAACAATCTTTACAAAATATTCACACAAAGCAAAACAAGACAACAAGAAACAGACAGAACAAAAAAAAAAAAACAAGAACAATAAGAAACCCAATAAGAAACAAACTCTTCCCTTCCCTTCTTTTCCCTCCCCCCCTCAGTCCATCAATCCATCTTCATTGCTTCCTCCTCTCTCTTCACCAACAACACATAATGATTACAGTAGAGTGCTGTCTTACCCTCGATCTCAAGAGTGTATCTTGCATCATCAACTTTGATACACACACTGTCATCGTTGTCAAGCGTAAAATTCTTCAAGGTAAAAAATCCGGTGGGATCGGTTGGAAGCTGTCCCTTAATCTCCACGTCCAATCTCTGTTCAAAAACCACTCGAATAGCTTCAGACATCACGTGCTTGAAGACTTGAAGACCTGGGAGACCGTTTGGAAGGTTTGACATCTGCAAAAGGTTTGTCTTCAACTTCATGACATCATATTGGTGGCTGACCTCTTTAAGAAGGACCTTAAACATCCCCACATCATCTTCGTATTGCAAACACAGTTCCTCATCCACCTTGGTGATGAGTGGTTGTTTACAACTCGGGACTTTTCCAGGGGGTTCTGTTTCTTGATCAGCAAGCTTCTTCTTCTTGGCGAGAGCCACCATGGAGGGTCTCCTTTGTTCCATGGAGAAAGGAATGGGACATCTTCTTCTCAAACCCACAGTAGAGGGAAGCTTTGAAGAAACTGGAACCTTTGAATTTGAAACAGAAACAGAGGAAAATATTCCAGACTGTTTGAAAGAAGCCATTGT